AAAACCCTCCATTGGGTTTCCATTGTCCTTACCACAAGATCAGAGCTTCATGACCCAGTTCCTTCCATTTCTGTCTTTGTCTCCTACCACTCATGGGCTCCAGCCATGCTGCCCTTCTTTATGTTCCTTGAACATCCACACTTGCTTTCACTAATGGGCCTTTGTAATAGCTTTTCCTTCTTCCCAGAATGCATTTTTTCTCAGATGCATATGACTGGCAGTGTCTTAGCTAGATGTCAGCTCTGAAGAAAAAGCCTGTCCACTGTGTCTGAAGGGAATCCCTGTTCTTGCACGTTGTCTCAGGGCTCCTTTCTCCTCCTTCACTCTCCTTTCTCCTCCTTCATTCTCCTTTCTCCTCCTTCACTCTCCTTTCTCCTCCTTCACTCTCTTTCTCCTCCTTCACTCTCCTTTCTCCTTTCCTTCCTTCAATTCATAGTACTTACCTTACATGGTCTTGTTGAGGTCTAATGTATCTATGATCGTCTGTCTTCTCCTTAAATGAAATGTAAACTCCATTATTCCTTTTCAACAAGCACTCCTATTGCCCTACATGTCTGATGGGGGGCACTCAATAAATGTGTGAATGAATGTGCAATTAGAAGCTCAACATCATAGCAGAAAGTAAGGTTAGAAACTGGAAAATGTACAGTGCTCCTTTGGAGTCAGCAAGATCTTTGCTCTGCTACTCTGCAGGGGGATCCTAATCTTCATGAGTCCATTTCTTTATCTGTAAGTGAGATTCATACTAGTCCTCATCTCACAGTCTTATTGGGAGGCTTTAAGGATCTGGGACTTGGCGAGTGCTTAGTAACCGTCAGCTCCTTTCCCCCTTGTGCATGGCAGAGATGTTCAGGAAGGTGTAGAAAAAGTTCTTGGGCCTTTGTCGAGACGCTTGGACTGGCCATTCAAAAAGGTCCTGATGATGGTGACTGCTTAATGAGTCCACTGTTAGGAGTTCTTGCAAAGAAATACTTGAAATGTTTCTTTCTTTTTTTTTTGGAGAGGTTTTTGCTATAGGGTGCGTGCACTCGCCAGGAAGAGAGAGAAAGAGAGACAGAAAGCGAGAAATCACCCCCCAGGGGGGATGGCCATACCACAGTCCCTTTTCCTCCATTCTCCTCTTGGGATCTTGGGCACACATGCACACGCACCTGGCATGGGTTTTAAGCCACCAGGTCTGGGACTCTAACCGCAGTCGGCTACATGGGAGTCCAGCGACATAGCCATTACTCCATCTGCTGGTCCCAGAATGTTTTGTTTAATAGCACTACCACTTTAGTATATTATAATGGCCCCTTTCACACCTTTTACTACCCATTTATCAAGTCTTTTTTCCTGTGTTTATTGTACATTGTTTGGTGTGTATAATAGTTTACCTTTAGCTAGCTGAATAATAACTGTCATTATTATTATTTTTTTAAATCTATCTTAAGGAGGGAGAGGAAAGGAAAATTTAGTTTAACATTTCTTGATGCTTGAAGTACCAGAAATATTTTTAAAGTCTGGGTTTGCAATAGTTTAAGATGGTTTGTCTAATCTAGATTATTCCACATTTGAAGGGAAAGATGTGCCGTACATTTTAATTTTTATAAATCTTTTAACCTCATTTCAGCTGTAATATTGACTTTGAATAGAATCAGCCCTGCCCCTAATCTAGATGATTGGAATCAGGCTCTACCCCTGCCCTCAGAGGACTTGGAGGGGAAGATAAACAAGGGTACATGTCATTTCCAGCAGTAGCAGAAAGGAGAGGTTTTTGCTATAGGGTGCGTGCACTCGCCAGGAAGAGAGAGAAAGAGAGACAGAAAGCGAGAAATCACCCCCCAGGGGGGATGGCCATACCACAGTCCCTTTTCCTCCATTCTCCTCTTGGGATCTTGGGCACACATGCACACGCACCTGGCATGGGTTTTAAGCCACCAGGTCTGGGACTCTAACCGCAGTCGGCTACATGGGAGTCCAGCGACATAGCCATTACTCCATCTGCTGGTCCCAGAATGTTTTGTTTAATAGCACTACCACTTTAGTATATTATAATGGCCCCTTTCACACCTTTTACTACCCATTTATCAAGTCTTTTTTCCTGTGTTTATTGTACATTGTTTGGTGTGTATAATAGTTTACCTTTAGCTAGCTGAATAATAACTGTCATTATTATTATTTTTTTAAATCTATCTTAAGGAGGGAGAGGAAAGGAAAATTTAGTTTAACATTTCTTGATGCTTGAAGTACCAGAAATATTTTTAAAGTCTGGGTTTGCAATAGTTTAAGATGGTTTGTCTAATCTAGATTATTCCACATTTGAAGGGAAAGATGTGCCGTACATTTTAATTTTTATAAATCTTTTAACCTCATTTCAGCTGTAATATTGACTTTGAATAGAATCAGCCCTGCCCCTAATCTAGATGATTGGAATCAGGCTCTACCCCTGCCCTCAGAGGACTTGGAGGGGAAGATAAACAAGGGTACATGTCATTTCCAGCAGTAGCAGAAATTGGGAAGGGAAGGTCTGGGTATATAAAAGCAATTGGTAGAGCCTGGTCTCCACATCTCACAAGGATTCTTGAAATAAGGCAGACAGAAGAAATGGAGAAGAACAATGAACAGCGCTGAGGACTTGCTCTGTCCCCTTCTCTCTGATTGTCACTGCCCCATCCGGACCTGCACCGTCTTCCTCCTGGAAGCCGCCACAGCTTTCTAGTTGGTTTCTGCTTCTGTGCTTGCCCTTCTTTAGCTCCATTTTCATAATTTTCTGTCTTAATTCCAAAATTTCGCTTTGAGTCTGTTTTTTTCCCCCTTTTTGGATAATTTTAACATACTGATTTTAAAATGCTTCAGATTGCTTTATTCTATCTTATTGAGTGTGAATTTTCTCATTTCTTGGATTGTTGTCTTTTTCGATAGCGGATTTATTTGTGAGTGGAGTTTGCCTGTGCCAACAACTCTGTGCAGCCGCCCACCCATACTCTTCCCATGTGGTGGTTTTGAAGTTGCCTCAGTTGGCCCTCCTTAGGGGTCGTGAAATCTGTGTGGTTTCTCTTCCACCATGGGAATTGAATTCCTGGCTCCACGGCTTTCTGTAAATGCCTCCCAGTCCAGCCCCTCCACAGGCTGTGGGTTTCCTTTTCTGTTTCTCCTCTTTGGATGTGTTTACCTTGATTTTGAGCCCTGGAGTACCTTAAAACGTTTCTTTTGCTATGTTGTCTCTGCTGTCTTTTGTACGTAACTAAACCAGAATGGGAGGGGCTATCGTGTATACCCACACCACTGTCTTGACAAGAAGTCTCTCAATTCATTCTTTATTTTTATTTGTCAAAGTGTCTGTGGCGGAGAGAACACACTCCCTGTCGTGCCATCCCAGTAGGCTTTTGGGCATCGTGTCTATATGCCTGGTATGTTTTTTAAGCTGCCAGAGCCATGATTCACACCACAGCCAGCCATGTGGGGGCCAGCCCCTCTATTCATTCTTTACCCAACTGCTCGTCACCTTTGTGGAGCATACACAGAGACCAGACCATTCCATTGCAGGGTCTTCTTGTGGCTCTCCTTCCCTTAACATGGCGTGCGAGGTGCTTCAAGAGTTCTTCCCTGCTCAGCTTTCTAGCCTCGTATCCTCACTCTGCACGGCTTCCTGACTCTGTTCATAGTGTTTTCTGTGCTTAGACTGTTCCACCTCCTGTCCTTCCCCTCACCTTCTAGCCTTGCATCAGGGTTAGAATTCCACAGTGCCTGTGTTTCCCTTTTTACTTGTGAAGGGGGATTCGCTTGCACATCTGACCCTACACCAGTCTAAGTCCACGTGGGCAGCTTTGTATCCCTGGTGCCCACTACAGTGCCTTGCACAGAAACACACCCACAAGTGAGTCTTGAACTGCCCCACACTGGGCACCACCCTGAGTATTTACATCTAGCTTACTTTGGCTCCCTGGAAAGCAGAGCCTGAGATAAACACTTGAGTACAAGTAGTTTATCTGGGATAGACATCAAGGAGCAGGAGTGAGGGCTCCAGGAGAGAAAGACAGGCATGAAAGCAAAGCCAGCAAGGGTGCTTTATTGGTCAGGTTCCTGCTCTGGGTAGTTGGTGCGCCTAATCCTGGGCGTCCTCTTTGCCCATGTTGTCCCTTCGAAGGGAGACTGGGACATTTACCAAACACCTCTCTTCCTCCACTGATTTACGGTTTCCATCAGAGATGTAAATTCTGTACTTCTACATTGCCTTGCTGGCTGACTCTGAGAGCTTTGGCAAGCTCGCCAGGGTTGTGCTCGTGGTGGGGCTGTCTTATAGCCACAGGAACCGTCCACCCAGCTGCAGCTGCAATTAGAGGTGGGCAAAGGGCGTGTGGCAAAGGGACAAGCAGAGCCTCAGCTACTCAGGCACTACCTAGTTAAATCCTAGTAGCTGGCCTGGGGAGGAAGACTTTTCTCCTTTCAAAGAGTCACAGAGTTAGAATTTGAAGTCATTTTTATCTGTCTTCAAAGCCAGTGTGCTTTTTCCTTTGCCTTATACAAGCATCCCTTCTTTAACATCTACTTACTGAGATCCTTGTGCTCCAAAGAGGGAAGGTCATTGATGGATCACTCCAGGTGGCCAGATTCGTCCACAGCCATTCCTGCCCTCAGATGTAGGAATGGGGCTAGCACTGTGGGGGTGAGGGTGGGGACTCTGTCATTTTTATGGATACCTATGATTTGTTTGTTCCTACTCAGGCCCAACCTGCAGTCTCATAGCCACGTGACCCACTCGCTTGCTGTGTATGTCAGATTAATTCTACTCTTCATATCCATGGCGTAGACATGGTTAAATCAACCTTGTCTGGTTGCTGTGAGGGTACATGGAATAAAATAGTTGGCATGGTTCCTGGCACATTGTGGGTCCTCACTATGTCTAGTTTAGATGGAATCTGGACTGGATTGGTGTGGAAAACTTTGGAAACTGGGCAGGAGACAAGTCCATAGCCGAAAGCTTAATTCTCCCACTTCCTTTCCTTTTGGAAAAACAGACCAGACCTTCTGAAAGCACTACGTGAACTGCTTCTGGAACAAATATGCCTGGCAGAGCAGGAAGTTTCTGGAGAACGCCTTGATGATAAAACTGAGAAGACAGTTAAGCAAATGGACATTGAGTTAAGGGGAGATCGTGGACAGTTCACCCAAGCCAGCTCACCTTGCAAGCCACACGGTGAACTGCAGTCGGCTTGGGAGACCCAGCTCGCCAGGGCGGGTGAAGCACACAAGGTGGAGCTGAGAGACGCCTCGGTGCAGACGGTGGCTGTCGAGGGGAAGACAGAGGCTGGGGACCAGCGGCCATCCGAGGCCGTGATCAGTACTGAGCTCCTGCCCCAGAACATGTACAAGTTGCCAAGGCAGCAGGCCGCTCTTTCCTGTCCTAGTGGCACCAACAAAGTAAGTTTTTCCATATGTTAATTATATATTTATTTCATACAAGCAAAAAAACTTAGAAAGCTTCCTCTGTTTTCACTACTTTTTTCTTGTATGAAGAGAAAGTGCAGTGTCTCCTTCCTCTGCCTGCACTTAGGCTGGCTCCAGCCAGAGGCGTACATCTGTCCTGACCTTGCCCCCACTCCCATCCCTCTCTCTCTCCTCCCCCACCCCAACCCTGCCTCATTTATCCGTGTAGCATGACATTTATGTGTTTCTTCAGAAAAACACAGATGGAATCATGTTTGTACATCTGTCTACAACCTTTTCTTTCACATTATGTATCAGGATCGTTTTTTCTTGTAATGGCTGCGTGAGATTCCATTGTGAGGATGTGTCAGAATTTACAGTTTGCACCTATTGATGGGCGTTTGCTTTGGCAGGTTGTAGGGGAGTTGTGGTAACCTGGTGTTAGGTAGAGATGAGTGACTAGGTTTTATTTGGTGTTGTGGAGGGACTATTCTGAGAGCTTTGTTTATATTCTCTTACACATATAACACTTACAGAAGATGAGGAAGCCAGATCTTAGTGCCCTGGCTAGCCAGCCAGTAGGGGCTGAGCTGGGATTCCCACTGTACCTGACTGCACTGGCTTAAATTGCTTTTCAGCTGTGGTAGCTTGAAATGGTAGGGTCTGGTTTTGTGGGTTGAACGCCTGCATGTTGATTTTCCTACACGCCAGGTACTGCCTCTACACTTCTTCGCAGATACTATCAAATATGCCACATTGTTAAAACCCAGACTCTGTTGGCAATATTTGACTGTACTGAAATCCTCTTGGGAACGGGGTGGGGCTGAGAGTCCCCATAGCAGGAAGTTGTGTTCTGGTAGAGCAGGGAACAGGTCATGTTTCTAATAGAGCTCCAGTGAAGGCTGTTGGTATTCTCGTTTCTACTGGGTGTTTTGTGTCTGAGAAATCAACTGTACACACTGCTTCATAGCATCAGAATGGCGAATTAAGTTTATTTTCTGACCACTAAATTACTGCTTTTGTGCATACCAAAGAGAGTTAGATATATCATTAGCAAAATTGCTTTTGATTGTTTTAAATTATGCACCAAAACTATAATTTCTAGAAAAGGGTTTTCTAAAGATATCAGTAGAGAGAGAGGAAAAAAAAAAAGACACTGTCATTATATTAATAGTACTCAAAATGCAAATTTGTGCAATTTGGCTAGAATAGAAATGCTCTCATCTGCCCCAGCTCTTTCAATTTGTACCTGTATATCAGGAAAACTAGGGGCTTTTTGTTTGCTTGTTTGTTTGCTTTTTTCTATTGTGTGGTAAATGTCATGCTATGTTCAGGAAAATTAGATAATGAATGAACTTAATTTATTTCCCAAATAAAATTTTAAGTTTGAAATTGTGCTTTTTTCTTGTGTCTTCAAAAAGAAAAAAAAACTATGTTTACTTATGTGTTATTTTTAGCATCTGCTATATGTGCCAGGAATTGTGCTAAATATGTTATCTTCTCTCTGTATTATCTCACTTAACATTCTCAGTCAGTGTTTGAGTGTGGTAGGTATTATCCACATTTTACATATGAAGAAACAGGCTCTACAGGGCCCAGAAGGTTGTTTAGAGTAACTTGGTTGGTAAGTGGAGTGACTGGGATATAAACTGAAGGCTGGTTTTGGAGGCAGAGACGTTGTAAACCCACCTTTCTCAGAGAGGGAGGAGCCCTCCTATCATCAATATGGCTTCCGGTCTGTACAACATAGAAGAAAATGTAATAATTTTCTTTGGTCTTTGATAGTCAAGGAGTCAGTAATCCTGTGGTGAAAGCAGAACTCTGGTGTTGTATTGAAAGGAACATCCTGAAGGACCAGAGCCAGCATGATGGCTGAATGAGGTCCTGTGTAGCAAGAGCCTAGTATATACCTGTTACCTACGTATGACTGGAGTACCTTGCATAGGATGGGAGCTCCAGTGTGGAAATTCCTGTCTCCCTTCCATCATCACGTTAGGTGTCTATCATGATGTGTGTAATAAGGTGGTAGGTGGGACTTTATTCAGAGTCCATAAGGTAGCATTTTGTGTAGTGTTATTTTAGATCGGCATTAGGGTGACTGACGGCAGTCTTCCAGCTTGAAATTGGCTTTGGCATTTGTGCACTTGCAGATAATCTTTTCTGCTACCATATGACACACAGATTTGGATCCAAGAATAAAGACTGGTGGAGACTGAGGACCAAGCAAATGACTGCTATTTTCCAGCCCCCTCTCACGAGGCACCTACCTCCTCCCAAGCAGTCCCCTTCACCACTTGAAGCCGCGCTTGTCCTCCTGAACCTGTTCTCTTTGCTAGAATTTCTGGCAGTTTTTTTTTTTTTTTTTAAGATTTTTTGCTATAGGGTGAGTGTGCTCTGAGAGACAGAGACAGAGACACACAGAGAATTCTTAGGTGAGAGATCATCCTTCAGTAGGGATGGCCACCCACAACCCCTTCTCCTCCATTCTTCTCTTTGGGATTTGGGCACACGTCCATGCTTGTGTTTTCAAACTGCTGGGTCTGAGACTGGAACCGCAGAGTTGGCCATGTGGGATCCGGCAGCTTAACCATCACGTCACTTGCTGGCCCAGATCTCCTCTTTCTCAGCCGAACAGTAGAGTCTGAAGAACTTCTGCCTTCTTGCTGTAAAATACTGGATCAGTTATTTGACATCCCAGTGCTTCATCTGGAAATAAGCATGATCACATCTGTCATCCTGCAAGCTCTGAGAGTGCAGTTGACCTGAGGATAATGGGAGAATGTGCTTGAAGGCATTTTACATTCTAGAACATGGAGTGAAGGGCCCTTTCTTTTCTTCTTAAAAACCATGGCGATCTCATTCCATGGATCCCACATAGTTTCTGTTTTCCTCTCAGGTTCCCTGTCTCTCAGTATCTAAAAAAAAAATTTTTTTTTTTTTTTTAGTTTTTGCTATAGGGTGTGTGTACTCACTGGAGAGAGAGAGAGAGAGAAAGTGAGGAAGCATCCTCCCCAAGGAGAATGACCACACTGCAGTCCCTTCTCCTCCAGTCTTGGGATTTGGGGCATGCATACTCATGCACCCAGTGTGTTTTTTAAGCTGCTGGATCTGGGACTCAAACTGCACAATTGACTATGTGGGATCCAGTAGCCTTAGTATCCATGCCATCTGCTGTCCCTAAAAAATTTTTAAAAAATAGCAGCTTTAGGGACCAGCAGTTGGCATAATGGCTGGGTCGCTGGACTCCCATGTAGTCGACCGCGGTTCATGTCCTGGACCCAGTGGCTTAAAACTCACGCTGGGTGCGTGTGCATGTGTGCCCAAGATCCAGAGAGGAGAATGGAGGAGAAGGGATTGCGGTGTGGCCTTCCCCCCTGGGGGGTGATTTCTCGCTTTCTGTCTCTCTGTCTCTCTCTGTCTGTCTGGCAAGCGCACTTGCCCTAAAGCAAAAGCCTCTCCAAAAAAAAAAAAAAAAAGCAGCTTTAAGGGAGAGATAATTTATATGTCATACAACTCCTCCATTAAAAGTAATTTTTTTAAAAAAATATATTCAGAGGTGTGTAACCATTACCACAATCAATTTTAGAACATCTTCATCATCTCAAAATGAAACCCTGTACTCATTAGCAGTCACCTCCAGTTTCCTTTTGCTCAACCCCCAACCCCAGGCAACCATTAATCTTTCTGGCCTTTTGGATTTTCCTATTCTGAATATTTCCTATAAATAGAATAATATAATATGTGATCTTTGGTGATTGCTTCTTCCACTTAGTGTAATATTTTCAGGATTCATTCATGTAGCATGTGTCAGTGGTTCATTTGTTTTCTATTGCCAAGCAGTGTTCTCTTGTATGGATCATGACAGTTTTTATTTTCTATTCCTTAGTTGATGCACATTTGAGGTGTTTCTACTTTTAACTTATTAGGGTTGTATATGCGTATTATTTATATACACCTTGTTGTGTAGACATGTTTCAATTCTCTTGGGTATATACCTAGGAGTAGAATCAGTAAGTCACATGATAACTTCATGTTGAACCCTTCTGAGGAATTGCCACATTGTTTCTAAAGCAGCTGCATCCATTTCACATTCCCACCAGCCATGTGTGAGGGTTCCAATTCTTCCACATCCTCACCAGCACTTGTTATAACAAGTGCTGTTGATTATAGCCATCCTAGTGGATATGGAGTGGTGGGATCTTTGGTTTTCGATTTACAGTTCCCTGGTGATGAATGATGCTGAGCATCTTTTTGTGTGCTTCTTGGCCATATGCATATCTCCTTTGAAGAAATGTCTATCAGATCTTTTGCCTATCTTTTCATTGGATTATTGGTATTTTGATTATTGGGTTGTAATACTTCTTTATATATTCTAGATTCACACCCCTCACCTCAGCCTTTGAATGTGTTAAAATTCTCTACTTGAAAGATACTCCCATTTGGCCTCCAATGTATTGTTCACATGTTTATTCCACAAATTGCTGTTGAACACTATGGACTAGTTCCTATGCTGGGATCTGTGGATAGAATGACCAAGATATGTAGATTCCCCTGAACCCTGGAGCTTACAGGCTGACGCAGAAGGTAGATGACAAAGTCATTGCATAGGCTGCTAATTTTAATGATACTACCATGGCATTCTGTGTGGAGAGTGGTAGGGGCCAGTGAGTGAGCCACCGGGAGACCTGACCTGACCTTGGAGGTCAAGGCCTGTTCTCCTGACAAGGCTCATTTCAGACCTAATCAATGGTTTGGAGTCAGTGGAGGTGGACAGGAATAAGTGCTCTGTGTAGCATATATCAGGGCCTTGAGGTGGAAGGAGCATGGCTTTTTGAGGAACTGATAGGAGGTCAGTGTGGCTGAAGAGTAGAGTGGAGTGGGAAAGGGGAAAGGGGCAGTCGTGTAAGCTGTGGGTCATGCAGGACCTGGTAAGTTATGGTATGGACTTTGACCTTTGTCTTAGGAGAACTGGGAAGCCATTAAAATAGTTTTGCTTTTTTTAAAATTTAATTTAGTTTTTATTACATTCCATCATTGTACATTTCTATAGTTCACAGTATGGTTTTTCAAAGTATACATGTCATACATGACAATCAAATCCAGAATGTAAGTTTTTGAGAGAGGAATGGTATGTTCACCTTTTCCTACAGCATGGAGAGTGGGTTAGAGAGGGCAAACTGGATGTGTGGAGAGCACTCAGGAGGCTGTTGCCATGGCCTAGGGGAGAGCTCAGCATTTGGAGTAGGTTGGTATCAGTGGAGGATGAGAAGAATTGAAAGAATGGAGAGGGTCCAGTAGGTGTGTGGTGATTAAGGTGCTGAACTCCCACACGGTGAATTGCAGTTTGGATCTTGGACCTAGTGGCCTGAGAATCACGCAGAGCACGTGTGTGTGTGCATGCCTAGAATCCCGAGAGGAGAATGGAGGGGAAGGGATTGCAGTGTGGCCTTACCCCCAGAGGGTGATTTTTCACTTTCTCTCTCATTGTCTCTGTCTGTCTTTGGTAAGCACACGTGTCCCATGGCAAAAACCTAAAAACCAAAAACAAACAAACCTAAAAAATGGAGAGACGTCCTGGTAGCTGAAATTAATGGAACCTGGTGAGTGAAGATAAGAATTAAGGGAAGTTTAAAAATGACTCCCAGATTTCTAGGTTGTATAAATAAGTGGTTAGTTAAGTGGCTCACCAAGACAGATTGGTGAAGTGGCCTAGATTTACAGGTGGGGACGTAGGGTGAAAGAATCAAAGGGTTGAGGTTTCAGTTGACTCTGGAGTGCCTGTGAGTTGTCACAAGAGCAGAGACGTAGGAAAGGCCAGATGGGAGCTCAGAGTATTCACTGGGTGAGTGATCCAGTAGCCATTGAAACACAGACTGGTTCTGGTGAACCTGCAGGATGGGAGGCAGATTGGGTTAGACTGAGGAATAAGGGGCAGTGAGGAATTAAATGAGAAAAAATGTTTTCCAGAAGCTTGTGTTAGAAAAAGAACCGATCTGAATTGTCCAGAGAGACAGTGTGCTGGGTCTGAGAGGATGTTGAGGACAAGCAGCTTGGCCCTTGACAATCAGAGGAGGGACCTGCCAAAATACAAACTTTCTGGCTGGAGGACAAACACAGATGTCCTTATAGGAACCGGAAGTCTGGGAGGCCAGTTTGAATTGTGTTATGCAAGGCTGGCAGGAGTTGTGAGGTTGGCATGAGAATGCTGACTGTGTAATCAAAGGAAGGGCCTTTGCGGTATATTCATTGTTGCGTGTGTGTGTTTTCAGGGAGCTAAGAAGTCCCGCTTGCCGATCCTAATCAAACCATCCAGGCCATTAGGAAGTGTGTATCATCTCCCTGCCAGCCAGGAGGTGGTGGCCCAGCTGCAGGGCCAGATTTTGGAGCTGCAGGGGAACCTGAAGGAATTTAAGACTCGCAACAAGCAGCTTCACCAAAAGTTAATTCTGGCTGAAGCGATGATGGAGGGGAAGTCAACGCCTGAGAAAACGCTCCCGGATGGTAAGCACCAGGAAAAATGCATTCTCTGCGAGCTAGATGAACGGCCCGGTAGAACTGCTTGAAATGTCAGCTTAGTTTTTAGAATTACAATACGTTTGGGTATAAATTTCATGAATTGCAGCAATTAATCTTGACTCTTGACAAATGCACAACAGAGAGAGCATAGTAACTGGATAAAGGGGCCCTGTAGAGCCTCGTGGGTCTTGTACCCACACTGCTACCTGCACTTGGGATGGTTTGCAGGTGCCATGTTGTAGGAGGACGTGAATCTGGCCTTCTCTGCCTGGCTGTGCCTCCAGAAGCCTTGGGCGTGTGGCACTGGAGGTATGTAAATGAGAGTCCTCTTGGCAAAGTCCAGGTTGATTTTGGGCTAATTCCAAACCCTACTGACCTTATATCTTCTTTTAGGAGTGACCTGTTTTCCCACCTACTTTGAATCTGCTGCCTCTACTGTCCTAAAGGACCAAGAAAACAGAGATCCCCTAGATTAAAAAGTACCAACATCTGGTCATCCCCTAGTGATTAGTTCCAGGCCTGCCGGTTGATACCAGAGTTCATGGGTGCATAAGTCCGTATATGAAGGCATAGTGCTGTGGGCTCTGTGTCCACGGTTGTGCATCCATGGATACAGAGTCTGACTATAGTCAGAATCCAGACATGGGTGGCATCCGCTAGTGTAGGACAGTGGCACTTAGAGGTTTTGGTCCACCAGCTTTTTGAGAATTGAAGAAAGCAGAGGACCCTCTCTCAGAGTAGTGCAGGTAAGCTTTTCTGAGGGTTCACGAATCCGCAAACATGTACATGTCAACTCCTGGTTTTGAACTCTCATTGTAAACAAATGACAGCAACACAGGTAATCTCTTATTTATTAAAGAATAATTACTAAATTCTCCTGTGCCAAGCACTATTCTAGGTACTTGGGAGATGGGAGTGAACAAAACAAATGAAGTACGACTTACGTTCTTGTTGTGGGGGAGAAGAAGACAGTTATCTGATCAGTGTGTGTCCGTGCACATGCATGTGTAAACTGTATGAGGAAATAAACGCTGTGAAGAAAACTAAAGCTGGGTTGAGGGCAAGGGGAATGTGGATTGGGCATGGGGTTTGCTAACGTACAGAAGTGTTAGAGCCTGGGATGAGGTGGTGCGTGGATGGAAACAGGGAGCCGGGTAAGCACGAGTCGCCTGGGGAAGAAAGGACAAAGGCAAGGGCCCTGGGTTTGCTTTGAACTTGGGGAGGTGAGTGATTATTAAAGAAGCCAGTGTGTGGCTAGAATGGAGTTAGAAAGAGAGAGGGAGAGTTGAGGGTGAGGTCAGGGAGGTGAGAGATCAGGTGGGCTCTCACAGGCCATTCTTGGACTTTGTCTTGGACACTAGGTCAGATTGCAATGTGCTGGAGAGTCTTGAGCAATGGAGTGACATGATCTGACTTAAGTCTTAAAGCAGGAGTTGACGAACTACAGCCTGTGGGACAAATCCAGCTCACTGCCTATTTTATAAATCAAGTTTTATTGGCACACAGCCACAACCGCTAATTTACTCATTGTCTATGAATCCTTTTGCACTATGGTGATGGAGTTGAATAGTTACAGTAGAGACCTCGTGGTTTACCAAGCCTAAAATATCTATTATTTGCCTCCTTAAGAAAAGTAGACTGGAAACCAGTATGTGGCGTAGTGGCTAAGGCGCTGGACTCCCCACTTTGTTGACCGCGGTTTGAGTCCTAGACCCAGTTGGTGGCTTGACACTCACACCGAACATATGTGCTTGTGTGCCCAAAATTCTGAGAGGAAAATGGAGGAAAAAGGATTGCGGCATGGCCATTCCTCCTTGGGGCGGTGGGGTGTGTGTGTGTGTGTGTGTGTGTGTGTGTGTGTG